AAAAAAAAACATTCAAATTTTCATTCTTGTGAAACTTTCATAAGCTTATTAGGCGAATTTTGTGTTGATACGTGACACTCGTGTATCACATCATTGAATTAAGTGTTGATAAAATACTCGACTCGAATCAGTGGTTTTCGATCTGAAGATCTAAAATTGTTTTGTTATTTTTTCTAACATGACATTTGCATATGGAATTATTTATGGCTCACACGACGTTCAGAACATTCCTGCAGTTTTGGGTTGTTTTCTAACACCACAGCATGTTGAACGTTCAAAAAGTCAGTTTTTTCCGGATAATTTTGACAAATATTTGTGAATTCAAGCCTGGTACAGTGCTGCGGAAACCGATCGCCAGACAACCATGGGAATTATCACATGACGATATTCATCTTGATCAAAAAATTGGTGAGGGCGCATTTGGAGAAGTTTATCGAGGAACGTTGCATCTGAGAGCGAAACGAAAAGTTGAAGTTGCAATTAAAATAGTTCGTTAGTTATTGTTTCGTCATTTTCAGAGAACTTTGCAAAATTTCCTCGCTTCTAATGACATTAAGTTGAATGACAACAGGCGATTTGTTGAAATCTGAGTACACACTAACATTAATTCTGAAACGAAGAAGTATTGTGATAATACTGAAGAGTTGTTTGGTCGTTAAAGGCAAANTTGACGAAAGATAAAGTGAAAGATATGATGAAAGAAGCTCGATTGATGCGCCACTACGATCATCCAAATATTGTTAAAATGTATGGCGTTGCTGTTGAACAAGAACCGCTAATGATTGTCATGGAATTTGTGAGTTCTTATCCTTAACAAATCTTATCGCAACCGCTCTTTGTCGCTGAGCGATTGAATATCGCGATGACGAATGAAACCGTTGAAGACCATTTGAGCGCTAACTGGCATGCATAGTAGAACTGAATTTTTCAAAATTTTCAACCATCGTCAAAAAATTTGAGTTCGATTCAGCTTAGAGTACCTCATTTTACTTATGTTTTGGAAGTAAATCTGATAAATTTCGAAATCATGTCAGCTGACGAAACATATTTGGAAGTAAATTGAATCATATTAGCTCATATTTGAAAGTGAATATCAGCTGACGTTTGATGGTTACAGATCACTGGTGGAGCATTAGATGAATTTCTGCGAAAGAAAGGAAATGATGTAAAATATCACGAAAAATTAGCAAGCATGTGTTCGGGTGCATCATGGGGCATTGAATATTTACATTACATGCAGTGTATACATCGAGATATTGCAGCACGAAACTGTTTATATACAACCGATAAAACTGTTAGTCTTAACGAGAATCCTTTGCAGAATTCACTAATTCCAAATAAATTTGCAAAGTAAATCATTTAATGCAATGCGCAATTGAAGACATCGATTGTAATGCGTTCAACTGAGCAATTTTAATGTTCGCTTTCGATTGCGTTCGAAGTTTTGATTGATTCAGGTGAAAATAAGTGATTTTGGATTATCGCGGAAAGGAAACACCTATCAGTTGACGTCAGCCAAAAAGTTACCTATTCGATGGCTGTCTCCAGAAACACTTTCAAGTGGTTTATATACTCAGGTAATGTTGTGATTATGTCAGTCGATAACGTCTGACTATTGGAGCAAACCAAATTTTCAGCAGAAGTAAATTTTTCAACAAGCAAAATTAAGCATCGAAAAACGAGAACAAAAAAAACATCAGTGCGTCATTTCAAATAATAATAAATGTTCCAGAAAAGTGATGTGTACAGTTTTGGTATAATGGTTTGGGAGATTTTTACGAACGGTAAAGAGCCATATGAAGACATGGCAAATATAGAGGTTCAAGAAAAGGTAGGCGTTAAAATTGTACTGGTAGACTGCTTGAAATATGTGGAGATTTAATGGATTGCTCAGATTAATTGTAACGATTCAATTATTCGGACGATTCAATTATTGGTGTTTTGGAAAAACAGTTCCTCAACTGTTCCTCGGAAAAAGCTGTTGATTATTTGAGGTGAAACTGTGATATTTGATCAAAAGATGAGAATTCTTTGTGCGTGGTGATCATTTCGTTGTGAATATGGTCAAATCAAAGATCACAGATAGAAACGAAGAAAATTAGTGAAAAATATTGCATTCAAACAGCAATACGGAACGAGTCATATTCTAATCCGAGCAAATGACTACTAAACTGCAATCGCTACATTTTATTTGAGGGCTATTTCAGGTACTTTGTGGCTATCGATTAGAATTTCCGAAAGACACACCTCGAGATATTGCGGATATGATTTTGACGAGATGCTGGGATATGAATCCTGAAAAACGATGGTCTATGTTTCAAGTTAGACGAGTTTCCTTAGGCTTTATTCAGTAAAACAAGCCCATTCTCGGCATATGCATTCTTTTCGCAATATTTTTCTCGTCTGAGATTCAGCAGCTGCTGCTAGCAATCAGAATTATCATTTAAATTGCAATAGTTAGCTTTGGAAACTTCGTAGAAGCTATTTCTCTGAAATTAATTTGAGATTGCACGGGAGTTCGAAGCATTTTCTGGTGTAAGTCCACCACCTGAAACGCAAATCATCTTAAAAAAGCAGAAAGCAATGAAAAAAGCAGTAAAATCAAGACGAAAGGTATTAACGAATCAAGCGATATCACTAAATGAATCGCTTCCGACTCAGCCGACAGTGATAACCTACACGGACTCAGGATCGTATGCATCTGGAACGGTTTGTTGAACATTAATAATCTTATTTTTTTGCACGGTCGGTCATTTTTTCTGAGATGATTTCTAAACTTGCAATCACTTGAATTGTTTGCTACTGAACACATTTTCTTGTGGATCTCCATGATCATTGTTTAGTGATGATTTGTTGGATGGTATTTACCTGATCTAATTGGTAAGCAACCCAAGGTCTAGCTCANTGAGCTTCTTGCATTCTTCTCGGTGTGGAACCAATGGAAGCTACCTGAGAGCTACATGATTAGTTGCTGATGGGTTATTCCTTGCTTCAAGTGGTACCAATGCAGATGATTCACTGCGAATGAACTGCGATCATCATTTCAGAAAATTGGCTTGAAAACAGATGCGTCAGCGATAAGAAAGAGAAACAGAAGTGGAGGAAAGCATTCGAAATTAGGAAAGTCGACGAAAGCGCCGTCAAAGAAAAGTCGACTCAAAAAGAAGAAATGAACAAAAAACATTGCGAATCAGTGAATCGTTGCAGTGCTCTTCTCTCAATCACAATATGACCTGATGACATTGTTGTCATTATTATTGTCAAATTTTATTTAATTAGCATTATATGAATGTCGCTGCTGTTTGTACGACAACAAAAAATGGATTTCTGCTCGTTTCTATTGCGTATTAACCTTGCATGATCTATGAATAAAAGTTAAAAGACTGCGAGAAATTTAGCAGTTCTTTTAAATTTCCAGTGAGCTTCACACGAATGGATTTATCAATTGCCTTAGGGGAAGATATCCGTTCCCTTGAAGGAAGTTCGAGTTGGAAGCGATTGA